AGCCCACCTTTTCCCCACCAAATAAAATTCTACAAGGGTAGATTTTTATATCTTGGGCGCCGGGTACTTGACTGTCGATGTGATGCATTAAGCCCCTCGTGGCTTTTCTGAAAGCATTTCTATTTTCCCTTTTTCATATGATTCCATCAATAGACGGCCATAAACGGCTCCTGACAGGACGACGCCATCCGCTCAAGATTGAAAAGCCATTTTTTGCTTTTGTTCTTTTTCCGTTCTTCTCTCCACTCCCATCTTCTTGCTCTGTTTTGTTTTCTTGTGGCTTTTTCGGTGACCGTTCTCATATTTCAGGGCGAGTTAGTGCGATCGAGTCCAAACTCAGGGCGGCTTCTTCCCCCGGGTAATTATTGGAGGTTCTAAATTGACCGCCGAAATGCGATGGCAAGACCTCTGGCAATCACCGGCACTGCTTTAGAAGACGCTGCAAATTGGGTCCGGTCATAGATTCGGGGACCATATACCCGCTCTCCGTCCACTGGTGCGACATGTGTATATATACTCAGTTTCAATAGATCATCGTCTTTGATAATATGTAACACATTTTCGGCAAATGTACAGTTACCTAAGAAATTACTCAACGACATATTATATAACTGGGAAGTACTTTTAACACTTAAATGCACATAGAATTTTAATTTGGCTTCTAGAAGGGAGTATTCTAAGTTCCAAGTAGGGAGCGGAAAATCTCATAGTGTGTGTGTGTGTGGGGGGGGGATGTTTATTTCTCAAAATGTGTTTGTCTTTTCTCAAGAAACGTCACTTCCGGATTTCATATATTTACAAATACAGATGAAGAAACTAACTTATCTGAAGAGAGAAGCTGATGATAATAAATTAGCGTGAACAGATGGTTTCAACCAATCACATTTATTCAATATTGTATAATATGTTCTAAACTATTTTTTAAATATTCGTGTGGACATAGTAATTTAAATCTCTGTTTACAGACATACCAGATCTTAGTTTGCAATATCATAATATTCTTACAGTCTGTTACGCGTTTTTCCAATAATTTATTTTACAAAAGTGACTAAATATGAAATGAAGTAAAACTGCATTTAAAGTTCTTCAATTAAAAATAATTTCTCGGCAATTTAATGTTTGAATGACAGATGTCTACATATTAGGCTATGAGGTATTTATCCCGCCTTCTTAGCGAGCCTTCGTGGTGTAGTGGTCTACACACTCAGCGCGTAACTGAGAGGTCCGCGATTCGATTCCCGGCGAAGGCGTTGCATATTTTTCATCTTGCCTTCTTACGAAAAATACCTAATGTCTCTACAAGGCATATAACTGACAGTGATAAAGATCATATACTGCGATTGTTAAGGATCATTGTTTCTAACGAGTTGATTATCGGTCTATTTACATCCGCCAGTTAAATTGAGACAAATTTATTCTTATCTATTAATACACGTAAAGTTTAAAATTAAGTAAAATCAATCTTAGGCTGGCAAAGATTTTGAATGAAACTCTACTGCTACCGAGGGCACGCTTTTTTCAGGAGAATTGTTTTGGTATACAAACTGAGGCTGCGTTTTTGCCTAATTTTAAATTTTACAATGACATATTTCCTTTCCTATCACACGTACAAAGTATTTACAATTACCAATCAAATTTAAGTGTTCTTTATGTAGTTCATATATAATCATTTTCATTAAAATGCTAAAGCATTAACCAATGCTCACTGTAAATAAAGTAGATAAAGTCGTTTAACCTTTGATTTGCTAATTTTTACTTCTGTTTTCATGAGTGGAAAAATTAGACTTAATGCCTAATTTTTGCCAGCGTAAATATACTTTTGCTACTTTTAGAAAGCCATCGCATGTTCTTTTAAAAAATCTATTTGTCTGTCTTTAACTTACATTTTTGCTAAAAATAACCACTTGTCCTACACTCTTTTTAGTAAAAAGTTGTACTTTATTAATATGAAGTACAACTATCTATTAAAAGGAATGCAGGAAAAAAGTATATTAAAATTAGACAGAGTATATTAATATTAGTAAATCATTACGCATGAGTCTGAGGCAAAACATTTTATGTTCTTATATGTTCCTTATCTTTAAATAGTAAGAAAAAACTGATAGCAGAATTATAAAATGTTAAAATATGCAAAAAAGTTAAAATCCCTATTAAATTATTTTTGGAAAAAAAAATCATTATTCAGAGTTAATCTCAACCAAGAATCTAGTAGCAAACCCTAAAGCTGTTTAAAAAAATTTTTATCTCTTCCTCTTATGGTCTAGATTTGTCCGCTGTGGTTTTTATTTCATCTGTTACCACACTGGAAGTATTTAAGTATATTTCAAAGGAAGTTGTAAGATGATACTTTGATTAAGCATTGTACAAGAATCTCTTGCTTAATTTAATGTAGATTAGTGCGTTTTTGAATTAACATGGTTTATAAATTATAACTTGTTTTATATAATCATCTGTTTATGGGATGAATTTCACTTAACAGGGCCCTGGCAGTATTTTTATACAGGATTGAATTACAAATGAACTAAATTTATTATTGATTTTCTTTTTGAATTTTAAATATTAATTCGTACAACTTCATCAAGTAAATAGCAGCACAGGAAGGAATTTATAAATGTAAAAATGTAAAAAATGCGTTAATCATTTTTGTACAATTACCTTTTTATTATAAAATATTTTATGCATTATATAAAATAAAATTCTTTAATTTGATATAACTCTTCTTTTTAATTTCATCATTTCCTACGTCTATCTTAAAAACAATAGTGTTTGTAATAAATCTATCTGAATTGCATCATTTCAAAATTAATCTCTATGATGTATATACTTACACAATGGTGAAAGTGAAAGTAAAACTTCTTATCCTGTTTAATACTTAAATGGAAATTTCATCTAAATTAATTGTAACAAATTTATATTACATATCTCTGCTGAGAAATCTAGTAACTTCATTATTCTTAATCTAACATTGTTAGTAATACAACCTAGTTTCTTTTACTCCTCTCTTTGTTAAGCTGGCCTGTATTTTGTCTGCTCCTCTTTTTTACTTCAGTTATATTGCTGTCAACGTGTAAAAACGTATAGACGAATTTACCGAACACCAGGAGCATTCATCGTTGTAATTATATCGCTTGATTCTATTTAATATTCAATGAAATTATACTTATATAAAAATAATCATCAGGCATACAAATTCATCTACCTTCTTTTCAACGTCACAGCACTAAATTTCTATACCTACATCTATCCCTTCTCTCTCTCTATTTAAATATATAATATATATATATAGACAGATAGTGTGTGTGTGTATAATATCATTTATAATATATCTAACTAATGATTTGTATAATTTTTAAGCACTTTCATCAAGACTGTTACTAATAAAAATATGTTGTCCTATATTACGCACTGAATTTCATAATAATCATTTGCTAATTGCTGAAGAACGAGCCTGCTACTTTGTTAACAAAATATTGCTGAAAATATATTTAAATAATTTTAACAGAATATTAGAATCAATGGAATTAATTAGAGAATGCCAATAATTACAAATAATGAAATATATCTACTAAGAACACGGAGAAATTATTCAATGACGAGGTACATAACACACTATAATTAAAATTTTTATGAAAGTAGAAACGTTTTTTCATGAAATAAATGTCTATGATTCTTATCATGAATTCAACTGTTTATATACTTAGCTCTTGAAACCAAGTTTCGTTGATGAAAAATACATTCAAGTTCACTTATACCATATCTTATCACAAAATGCTTCAGTGGTAGAAATAAAGAGTTTCTATAATTAATATGGCTACTTTTCTGTGGTTAAGTTAAAAAAGATACCGAAAAAAGAAGGAAGAATGAATTATCATAGAGCTTATAAAAATTTTACGAAGTCAGAGACAGAAAAAATCAACCATACCGCAAATCATCCCACGGACCTCCCATCTGTTAGCTAGTTGTGCTGACCATAATGCTGTCTTTATCAATCACTCTTGAAATTAATACAGCTTTATTCAAAATCTGAACTAATCTAGGGCTGTTTTTTTATGTGATTCTAAGTTTACATTGGCGCATTTCTCTCCTGTATAGATGTTCTAGAAATATTTTGAACAGTTGCACGAATGTAGTTTGAAGGAGAATTGATGATGGTTTTCTTTAAAATTTTTCGCATCAACAAGCTTGACAATGCAAAAATATCCTTAATTGTTTGAAGCTACAATATATATCAATATTTCCCTGCTAATTATAATAAACAAAGGAAGTTTGAAAATATTTTCTTCATGCCATTTTTCATCTCAAAATGCAGGGTACAAAGTAAAAATATATAATTCAGACATAGGAAAGCTTACTTTAATTACGAAATTCATTTCCAACCTCCCATGAGCAGAATGTTCAGTAAAGACACTCTATTTGTTCTTACTCTAGCAATCCGGATTGCGCATTTTCTGTCTAGATCAAGAAAAATTAAATTTTTTGACAATTTAGCTTACTTTTCTTATTTCTTACGGCTTTAAATAATATGAAAAGATAATATGATTGATTACCCAGTATATTTAAGGAGGTATCAAATTAATTGAAGAGAATGTGGTCGACAGATGTCCTTTGCCTATGACAAACAAAGATTGTTTCATAAACATTACTTTAAAGAAATAATTACGTTATTGCATTTAAGCCTATTAGTCTTTGTTTATTCTATCGGTCTTTGCTTAACCCCAAGAAGTGTTGCATTTTTTTCTAAAATAATATCAAACGAACATGGCAACATTGTATCAGTTCCTCATTAGCATAAGGACTATTTTTTTTTTCAACTATAGATCAAGTAATTTCAGATCATTGTTTAACTTTGTTTGAAATATACGATTTGTACTATTTTTTACTTTGTGCAAATAAAAATATTTTAATTTTTTAATTGTACCATCTTTGATATAAAATCTGATTATAGAAAAATAAAAAATCTGCTTTTATGTCAATAAGTACGCATCTGACTTTTAGAAAAGTAACAACCTGCTGTCCAGAGAAATGGGTTCTGATTGCAGGCAGTTCAGACGTTTGAAATTCTACTATAATTCCTCGGAGGAAGTATAATTTTATACAGGTACAGTATACACTATTGCAATTTTTTACTGAAATATACGGATCTATTGCGTCTTTAGGTCTATATTATGATATGCAGGATATTCTAAAAAATGCAACATGCTGAGTGATCTTGAAATGAGTGTTTATTGTATAGTTTATTTTCAAATTCTAAAAGAAACTACAGAAATTAAATTTTTTTTGGTCAATACTTATTTTTACGCAATCTCTTTACTTTATAAGGTATTTCCCTGCGCCTTCCTATCGTGCCTTCGTGGTGTAGTGGTCAGTACACTGGACCGGTATTCCAGCGGTCCGTGGTTCAATTTCCGGCGAAGGCGTTGCTAATTTTTCATCTTGTCTACTTCCAAAAAAATACCTAATATCTCTACAGTGGCGCTCGAACTAAAAGGGTTGTGGATGATGACTCTCCACACTCAGGATTTGACGCTTGGTTTCCCTAAAAACCCCAGTCGCCCTTTAAAAGGGGGGGGAGTATATAAGGTATTTCTCCCGCCTTCCTAACGTGCCTTCGTGGTGTAGTGGTCAGCACACTGAGCCGGTATTTTAGAGGTCCGTGGTTCGGTTCCCGGGGAAGGCATTGCTAATTTTTCATCTTGCCTGCTTCCAAAAAAGTACCTAATGTCTCTACAACTTCTAACTTCATTTTCAAACTTCCAATACCACATCAGGATACATTTTTTGCCCCAAATATTAGTCTACCTCTATCCATTATTTCAAATCGTTTAAACCTAAAAGGAGAGAAATTATCAGCTGTAATAATGCATATATGAGACATTTTATATGAAAAAAGGCATTCTGTAAGCAATAAAGAATGTCTCTATATTTAGCCCTAGGATACATCTATATATCGTGAATCTTTATTGTGGTACTATATCAATTTGTTCTAAAAATTATTATTTTGCTTATTATTTTGATATGTTTTAAAAATTATTAGTTTTCATCAAACATCCAGATTTTTGCAGATTAGGCATTCGCTGAAAATGATGATGTCATCGTTCAGTTGACTACTGAAGCTTACATTTCCAACGCAAATCATCCAGAACATTGTTCATAATGCATTACAAGGTATGCCAATATTGCATCTGCAGAAGGAACGAGAAACATCGCCTATGATCTTGCCGTATCCTAGGTTCGAACACGGCTTTGCAGTACGAAATCTGTTTACATTAGTCGTTGTACCTATCAGAATCCCAAGCATCATTCAGTGGGTAAACTTTGTTTCTGTTTTGATATTGACCAATCAGTAATTTATTCCGTTTTGCTTAAATCGTAGAAAATTATTGAACGATAATAAAAAATACGCTGACTTTATTCTTTTAATTAGACTTATGGATATACATTTGCATTAGATAAATGAACGCATTAATATCTGAATTTAACATTTAGAAATTGAGTGCTTTTCTTCAACTGACATTTCTTATGGAAACCTTGTAGAGACATTAGGTTATTTCGAAGCAGGAGAGATGAAAAAGGTGCAATGCCCTCACCAGAACTCGAACCACGGACCTATTGAATACGCGTCAAACGTGCTGACCACTGCACCACGAAGGCATGCTAAGAAGGCGGGAGAAATACCTTACAGCCTTATAAGAAGTATATTGACGGTGAAATGAGAAATTATTTTATTTTTAGAGTTAATTTTTGTGTTTTCTAAACATGCTTAGCTGTTATCTTAAAAGAAATATTTTCTTTTGTTTAATAATCATTTTTAAATTAAGTATTGGAAAATTATGCTTACCTGTAGGTATATATGGAATTGATTAAAATCCTTTAATTTCTTACATGAAAATTAAGAATTCCCCTACGCTTGTAAGGAAATTGTTTAGAACTGAAGGGTATATTTTAATTAAAAGCATAAAAATATTTTTTGAATTAAATATCAAAGAAAATTAAAAGATACAGAATCTTAATAAAAGTTTTATTATTTATTTTATCTTTCCCAATATTTTTAGTACAAAAGTGCTAATGTGCTGGTAAAAACAATTGAAAATAAGCAATGTTGAATATCAAAATGAATTTTAAAATAAAATATGAGTATTTTCTTTAATAACTGCATCATTTAAAAAGGTAGGGAAAGTAAATTTTTCAGCTATTGTGATATTTTTTATCTTAAGCAATTAAAAGTAAAGTCGCCAAATTATTAAGTATGAGATGTTAAATCAGAATTACCAAAGAGAAATTTAATAGAATAGAATGCAGTTATTTTTAGATATATATTTTCTATACCGTCACTACTATTACTACTTGCTCATGTAATATTTATACATTTCTCTTATGTATGTCCCACATGGCTTCATTTTTAGTTCCAACTTACGGAGAGCGCTTTAACAGCTAACAATTTTACTCGTACTTTCAATTTTAGTACATTTAATTACAACCTCATAACTTAAAAAAGTTTACTTAAAAATTTCATAACTTAAAAGGTGTCTTTTATTTTATACTTTTTAGTCCATAATTTGCGAGAAATAACAAAAAAGAAAAATCAGTGCTTCTGAGCGTATGGATGTTACTCCTTTTAATAAGCTTAAAAATAAAGTGGGTATGACATCATATTTTTTCAAGGTCCTGTGTTCATTTCAGTGGCGTACAACTGCACATATTTAATTTAGAAATCTTTCTGATCATCGCTTTAAAACAAGGGGTTGCTAATGAGGAAGATTGAATATTTTGATTTAAAAAAGCGTTTGTTAGCAAGCAACCACACAGCAGCTAAAAAATTTCGAACTCTTTTCAACAATTATCGAAATTACATTAAACATATCGAAATATTTTTATTTGGATGATTATTCTTTTTACCTATCTGACTGTGCAAAGAGCGAAATTCTACTACTATTAGTATGTTCTTATGTATGAGAAACAATCGACACTAAAATTAAAAATAAATAAATAAATAAAAATGAAAAATCTGAAAGGTTTCCGATTTTAAATTACGTCTAAAGGGGCCGTTTTTTTAACATTTTGTGGGTTTCCCTTATTTATTATTATTTATTAAATTTCATTATTATTATTATTTATTTATTAAATATCATGTTCTTCGCACTTAAACCATAAAATTCAGTTCAAGAGCAATATCGCAAAATAATTTTAAATTGAGCCTATCTTTAGAATTTCCGATACACACTCTCACGCGCTAGAGATAAAAATGTTTTTTCTGTACAACGTTGCTATTGCTCGCTTTGAAATCCTTGAGTTTGTTAATCAAAAATTCGTTAAAGTATTAAAAACAGGAAATCGATAATAAAACAAATTCCAAATTTCAATTTTGTGCTTCTAGGTGTCCATATTTGCAGTAGGATTACGTCATTCAAAATTCGGTGCCTCTAGGTACCGTTGTTTTATCACAATGCGAGAAACACACGTACATTTATGGAGATTCTTCATCATTCAATTTCTTCAAATATAGTACAGGACGATAATATATGTTGGAAACAGTTTGAAAAGGGAAACGGACATTCAGAGCGATTCAACGCAAAATCGCAAAACGAAAACCTTAGTCCCTCAGGGACAAAGCCCGTTTGGACTAATTAAAAGTAAAAGTTGAAAATCTGAAAGGTTTCAGATTTTACATTACGCCCAAAAGGGCGTTTTTTTTTAATGTTACCATTATTTATTAAATAGCATGTTTTCCGCACTTAAACCAAATAAAATTCAATTCAACAATGTCACAAAATATTTAAAAAGAGCATATCTTTAGAATTTGCGACGCGCATAGAAATGAAAATGTTTCTTTCCCCCCTGCAGTGTTGCCATTACTCGAGTTGAAATCGTTAAATTTGTTAATCAAATATTCCTTAAAGTTTTACAAAATATGAAACAAATAATAAGATAAATTCGAAATTCGGAATTTGAGCATCCAGGTGTCCATGTTTGTGTGGAGGATTACGTTATTCAAAATTTGATAGATCTAGGTAGCGTCGTTTTTTCACAATGCGAGAAACATACCTACATTCATGTAACTTCTTCATTATTTAATTTCTTTAAATATAATACAAGGCGATAATATTTGGTGGAAACAATTTAAAAAGTTATTCGCCGTTTATAGCGAAACGCCGTAAAATGCCATTTTGATACTAATAAACCTTCCGGTTACCGCCTCTTTGGGCTAAAAAAGAACTATACCGGAATTTAGAAAATTTGCTATGGAATATTGCAGTCACAAACACATATTCGTGATTTCCAGAGAACTAACTGCTTTTGTAGTAGAAAGTCAAAAATAAATTTCCAGTTTAGATGCGCGTAGCAGAAGAACTAAGGTAACTAAAATCATATAACAGTAAAACTGGTGTTGTTATATTATTTTAGAAACTTATTATTTTGTGACTATTTTATGATCCATTTTTTAAACTGAATTTTAAATTAAGTCCTTGGGTTTAGTTTAAACACGTACTGGTTTGGTATGAGTATTGACTGACATGGATAATTTTTACTGAGTCTTTAATGGATTTACTGAGTCTATGAACAACTGTTACAAAATGAGCAACTGGTCCCCTTTACTTGAGCGTCACAGCTTCTGCTTTATGGTTTTGGGCCTCTCTGTTTTCAGGCTTAGCATCGACGGCCAAAGGATTTGTGAGACTCCATTACTGACCGAGAGAGGGGGCGGAGACTGCGATTTCGTGGCCAGATATCCCTCCAAAGCAGACGATCCTTCCGGCCCCCGCGCCGCTCCTGATTTTATTTTAAGCCATCTCACCAAACGGCGCTGATAGATGGCAAATAAATTTGCCGTTATTTCCTTTATGGCTTGCGCCTATGAAAATCTCCGATTTAGATTTTAATGAAATCACATCATCGTCCGTGATCGTGTAATTGTTAAGAACCGAAATGCTTTTCAATGACTGTGAGGAAGATACTGAGCATCTGCCAGATAAACATAAATGATATTCACATTTAGAATCTGTCGATACTTGCTTGCTAATTAATCTTTGTGATCGTTTTTTAACATGAAAAGATTAAGTAGTATTTATGTGCATTATAAAAATAATTATCCAGACTACA